TTGCTACGTGGAGGGGAGCCAACGGCAACCGGACAAATACATGAGGGAGGCCCGATAGGTCACTCATCTGGAGGAGAGGACCAGGCGCAGGTAGAGTGGAGAAGTGCGATCACAGAGCCTGCCGAGGAAATGACTTTGATTTGTTGTTTAAATAGAGGGCCTACAAAAACTATCAGCCCCAGGGCCTGATGGCAGGTTAAGGCGGGCTTGGTTTTCACTATAAGTACAACATATCTTTTGGACGGACACTATAATTTACCATGTTCAATCTGAATTTTCTTTAAAATAAAAAACATCTATATAGATTCTGACGTTTCTACATCCAACTCACTGGTTTATCATTACTTTGGGAAAAAAAGATTATTAATTTAACCCTTTTAGAAGGGAAGATATGTTCATTTGTTCTGGGAATGTCATTTTCGAGCCTGAAATCTAAAAAACAGGCATGGGGTTTAAGATTCCCTGCACATTATGACCATTAATCACAGATAGAGGAGCTGTAAAATGGCCACCCATAATCTCCTAAAGTAGCCTGTGATCATAGCACATAAACAAAGATCACACTAACACAACATCTTAATGCTTTCATTTTAAAATATCTATGGTTATAGTTGTGCTACATTTTATTTAATGATCTACGCTGAGCCACTTTTCACCAGAAATGGAACTAGAGCAGAAGTATTTTCCTTTTGACGTTTCTAACCCTTTCATAAAAATGCCATAGTATAGGATGCCAAAAATCTCATTTAAAAAAAAGTATACTATGTAAAATATTTTATGAAAAAACGACATATTATAGTATATTGAAAATATTGTAAAAAAACGCCATAGTATGTTTAAAATGTCATAAAAAACCATTGTATACTAATGACAGTATATATAGTATGTTGAAAATATGTTTTAAAAAACGACATAGTATAGTATCTCGTCAATTTGCCAAAAAAGGACGTATGTCAAAAATATGCAAAAAACAACATAGTATGTTGAAAATATGTTTAAAAAAACGACACAGTATATCATGTGTACATTTTCATAAAAAACGAAAAAGTATAGTATGTAGAAAATATGTTAAAACAATCGTATGTTGAACATTTTCCAAAAAAACGACATAGTATACTATGTATGTAGTATTGTATGTCGAAGATATGCAACAAAACGACTTAGTATGTTGAAAATGTCATAAAAAAAGACAAAGTATAGGTCGAAAATATGCAAAAGAATGACAGTATGTCGTAATATTTGCCAAAAAACGACATAGGAACGTCGAACATATGTTAAAAGACGTAGTTAAGTATTTCGAAAATTACATAAAATACAACATACGTATGTCAAAAATATGCCAAAAAAGGACATAGTATATTATGTCGATTTTTAGTATAGTAGTCGAAATATGCACACAAAAAATAGTATACTGTAGTGTGTCGAAATTAAAAAACAACCGACAAAAATGGCAAAATCTCATAAAAAACAAAATATGTCAAAACATTTCATAAATAACGACATAGTATGTTGAATATATACTAAAACAAACAACATGGTAGGCCTATGTCGACATTTTCCAAAAAAGGACAATTTCATGAAAAACGATGTCGAAAACATGCAATATATTCAACATACTATACCGTAAAGTTTTTATGCATATTCTCAACATAATATATCATGTTTATGATATTTTCGACATATGTTGTTATTTTGCCCATTTTCGACATACCATGTCGTTTTTCATGAAATGTTCTACAGACTATGCCATTTATTTTAACATATTTTCAACATACAATACTATGATGTTTTTTATTAAATTCTCTACATGCCATATGTAGATATATGTAGATATATATGCCATATGTATGTCGGTTTTATTATATATATTTTTTTACATACTATACTGTAGTATGTAATTATTGTACATATTTTCGACATATTATACTGTCGTTTTTTATGATATTTACGACATGCTATATCTCGTTTTTTGTAAACATATTTTCGACATACTATATATACTATATCGTTTTTCATGAAATGTTCTAAATACTACACTGTCGTTTTTTATGATATTATCGACATATTATACTATGTCGTTTTTGATGAAATGTTCTACATACTAAACTATGTTGTTCTTAAGACATTTGTCGACATACGACTATGTAGATATAGCTAAGAATGGCAAAACGTTCAGAAAAATAAACAATTTTATAATTTTGGAAATTTCAAACGACATGATAATGCCATCCATCCAATGATTGCATTTCTTTGAACAATAAAACCATAAAACAATACTTGTTTCTTAAAAAGGTGTTTTTTTATTTCCTTTTTAACAAAGCCCAATACAGATTTGAAGCAAAACTTGGAGAACACTGGTAAATCTCAATCCAATCATCATGTCTGGGACAACCACAAAAAGATGAGCTTCAGAAAAAAAGAAAGACACCTAAGATAATCATACAACCCAGAACTGGGGCAAAGAAAATAATGGTGCATGTTGTCCAAGAACTATTGGAAAAAAATAATTGTTTTGTGACAATGAGAAACAAAACGTTCATGCCAGCAGCTGATGGGGGAGGAAGGAAAATCTTCTAGTAAAATAAATGTCAGGTCATTCATGATTCAGAACCAATAAAACCTAGAATAAATGGCAGTTACTATCATTGCTACAATTTTCTCTTGGATGAGTTACCTGGTCAAATACATCTAAAACACAATTTAGTAGTTTGTACAAGTGTACAACTTTTCTGCCACGAGGGGAGAATAATATGCAGGAAACAAAAAATTATACAATGTTTCCATGCTGAGAAATGTCTTAATGTCCAACGACATGAACTTTTTCTTTTCACGTTTCTTTTGACAGGAAGTGAACGCTTTGAGACTGGTAATCTGTTTACCTTTTTGCACAAAGAGATGCCAAAGATGGAGATTATTAAGAGTCAAATTTGAAAATAAATCATAATTACATTAGGTTAAGTTTTATTTATTTATTTCTCTTACAACTCATTTGTTACACAAATATATATTTAAAAGTGTGCTTGAATGGGAATGAGTGGGAATACAAATATAACATCTAAAATTATTTTAGGGCAGACCATTTTTGAAGTGATTTAATCATCAGTTAGTCTTGATGTGATTAGTAATAATGGTGGCTTCATTTAATGTTCATTTAATGTTCTTAATTATTTTCATGTCACTGGGTTTACACACGTACCGATCCCTTGGACTTTTAAAAGCTAGAATAAAGATGTGGGAAAGTAAATCTGGTTGAGCTGTGGCTGACTTTTTTCTGGTAAGGATTCCACTGGCACATGTTGTCCTTTTTGAAATATGAAATTATAGACTATCTGAAATGAGCCGGTCCAACCATGTAAACACAGTGATTTTCTGATACAGAAAAATACTAAGTGGACAATGTAAATCGATCTTTTAATAACAATATCCATCTGTTGAAAACACCAGTCTGCTTTGATATATTCTCATGTGGGAACATATATATTCTATAAGAAAATAAATCTATACTGCTGTTTTCGTGGTGATGGTTAGATAAGGGTTGTACAATCCCATCCTCCCGTTCTGTGAGTGCTCTCTGCCCGTCCAACAGAGAACTACAAGTATCTCTGTAAGAAATAGTATTTGTGACTGAAGCAGCTCAAATACTCAGAAGGCTCTGCCTGAGAAGAACATTAGTTTGAAGCAAAAAAATAAAATACTCATCTTTATACCAGTTGTTAAAGTAATTTATAGTAAAGTGTATTTTGCTATTATCTTTTAAAAGCCATAAGCAGTTTTTCTTTTACCGTACCTTGGCATTTTGACACAAAATATCCTCTTGGATATTTACACAGGAAAAGATACTTTTCAAGCAATAAAACAAGCTTATATCGTGGGTTGCAACAGAATAAAACACAGTTCTGAAGAAATAATGGAGAAATAATTGCATAGCAGATCAGAATATAACTAAACAGGAACTGATCCATTTTGGTATGGTGCACTTTGATTCATGACTTTTCACATATGTACATGAGTCCATTCATAGTTTCACCTGCCCACAGTAAAGATCAAGTTTGCTTCTGCACCACAATGCAGACGCCTCGTCCTCTCTGCTCTTCTCATAAAAGTCCATAGGAGTCTTTTTCAAAAAAATTAAACTTTGTTTAAAAAGTGCCATTTTGCTACATTTATCAGCTGATCCATGGTCTGCTACTGAACAGTTAACACAAGCAAATGTGTTACACATCCCCCTGATGCCACACATTTTCCTGATTCTATGAGTTTTGGTCACATGGACAATCACACACACTCACAGCCACGTACACAAAAACACTTGTGTTCACACACACACACACACACACACACACACACACACACACACACACACACACACACACACACACACACACCACACACACACACACACACACACACACACACACACACACACACACACACACACACACACACACACACACACACACACACACACACACACACACACACACACACACACACACACACACACACACACACACACACACACACACACACACACACACACACACACACACACAAACAAAGAAACAAACACAAAGATGACGTTAAAGGAAAATAAAACGAAGAGTGGAAAAATAAAGTCGTGGCCGGTGAGTACACTTCCATTTGAAGAGTTCATCTGTTGCGATTAGACATTCCCGGCTGGTAAAGCTTTGAAAAAGAACAAGCACCATTAGGAAAAGGCCTCAAACGTCCTCGGCTGCAGAGAGTTCAGCAGTTTCCTCTCCATTCTGTGCTCCCACAAAAAGCAACGGAGAAATACATCTACATTCAGACTCGCCTCAGGCTCGTGGTCGGGCAAAGTCACTGAAATGTTTCAGGCTTCACGGAGCCTCTTCCTCCGATTTCAAATCTGGGTCAGGCAAACAGAGCCTCTTTTTTCTTTAAAACATGGAGTCCAAGGACCTGTATCTCTTAACTCTCTATGAGGCCTTCTCTGTGTGTCCGTGGAAACAGCCGGGGCCTCACCGTCTCTGCTGGGTGTAAACGGGGTACGCTAGCGTCACATTCAGAGAGTCATTGTGCTGGACCAAAGACGTGTGCTGGTAGTGAAGTACGAGTTCTTTCAGTGAGCCGTAGAGGTTGTACGGCTCGGCGAAACCAAAACCTGAGGGGGTCTTGTTGATGACGCAGTGCTTCACCTCACCGTCCACACTGCAAAGAGAGGAAACACAGTCACACACAGGAACAAAAGCGCTCTTTCTGACCACTCGCTATTTAAAAACACGTCATCAAGTCTTAGAACAATAATAAGCTGCTCATACCTACATTAAACAAATGTTATGTTGATACTAGATGTAAGAAGATTGATTTTAATGTAGAGGGGGATTCTTATTGTGGAAAAATGTAGGCCAAAATGTATCTGATGCTAGTATGATGCTCTAGCAGTATTTGCTGAACAAGTCAATATCTTCCCTTTTAGTGACAAAAAAGACGATGAATATGGACGATACCCACTTGAATTAAAACTAAACACTGCTCGAGCATCGTATGAGCCTGGGATGAACATAGGAATATAATGTTGGGTATGTAGAGGAGGAACCTGACTACAGTTTGTGAACTAGCAGCTGTATGAAACACAGGTAGATACGTACACAACGCTGCAGGCGTAGCATCCTGCTTTGCTGCTGTCTCGAACCAGGAATGTTCCGTCCCTCTTGCCCTGGAGGAGCGCCTCCGCCTGCAGCCGGTTGATGTTGCCCAGTTTCCAGGACCGCTCGTCGTGATGAGGAAGGTCTTCATCATCGTCCACCATAGAATATTGACTGGAAAAACAAAACAAACGTACACAGGTGTAAGTTATGAGGGAACACATTTTTACAGTCAGTTCATTTGTCAAAAGTAAAACAGATACTCACTCTTCTGTGTTTTCGTTCTTGATTCCGAGCCACTCGTTGAGTTTCTTCTGTCTGACTCCCTTCTGGGTCAACCACCTACAACAGAGCGAACATTAGAAACCAGGGCAGATCCAATTTGATTTTCCCCAGAGGGAAGTTTAAAGTTTCCGGAGCAGCTGATCAGAGTACTCACATGAGGTACTGGTCTCTGGTCTTGCGCAGCTGGATGAGGTCGGGCTTGATGCTGTTCATCCTCTTGTCGATCTCCCTGTAGTCTGCAGCCTGTTTCTTCAGGTCCTCCTCCAGTCTCCGCTTGCTGTCTACGATCTCACTAATCCGGGACTTCAGCTTCTCGTAGTTGCCCATAATCCTAAAAAGCAATAATGACGTTGAATTTCAACACAATCCATCTTTTATTACGTGCTACAATCGCTTCTTTTCCATGGCACAGTGTGATGTATTCTTACCTCTGGATCTCCTTTTCGTTTCCTTCTCTCCTGAATTTCTCAATATACTCCTTGCTGTAGCGCTCTTGTGTTTGGCATTGCTCCTCGAAGATCTTGATGGTTTCATTAAACGCCTCGATAGCTGTCCTTTTCATTTGGATTTCCTGGAAAAGAAGGCACAGGGTTAGTGCATGTTGTGGAAATATTGCAGTACAGTTTAGGATGGTAGTCGGACTCTGGATTGCACTCACTTGTGATGTTCTGGTGTATTCTTCATACAGACGGTCGTACTCTTTGTTCTTCTCCTGGTACTGCTGGTGGTACTCGCAGAGCTTCCTCCCCACGGCCTCAATGTTGTCCTCTTTCACCACCTGATCCTAAGAACAGAGACAAGACAGTTGCAGTTCAATTGTTTGAATTCAAGCATTTTAAGCGCTGCTAGTTTCCACTCTCAGCTGCCGGCTTACCTGCTGGAGTTTGGAGATTGGATACAGAAGCTTGACGTCCAGTTTGGGGTTGTACTGAGCCAGCGACTCGTTGCGATAGTGGTTGATGAGCTCCACAACTGAGCTGAAGGTCAGAGGGTCCGAGAAGCCGTACTTCCCATCCCGGTGGAATATCTTAATGAGCTTGTTGTTTCCCCCTTTCCTGTAGACGAAAAAAGGTGTTAAATGACCTCCAATAATAGAATAGAAGCTGGTAGATAAGAGGAAATGGTTTCAAACTCACCTCAGAGTCAGAGTGTAGTCTCCGTGCATCTTCGTAGAGGCGTCTCGCACCAGGAACGTACCGTCCGCCGTGTCCCTCAGCTTCTCGTTGACCTCCTCCCTTGAGATGTCTCCCCAGTACCATTCGGCGTCTTGCAGCGCCATGTTGTTGTTCATACCGTTGTTAGTCACAGCTGTGGGCTTGGGTGGTTTTGGAGGTAGAGCTGTGAGGAGAGAAATAGAATAGATATTAATTTACTGAAACGTGATTGGAGCACATTCACATGAAATGGGTCTCCACTTGAATTAAATTATTGATTTTCTGTCAACTAGCAGCGGTGTTAATGCTGCTGTGGATCACGATTCAAAGCATTTGTTTTCCCGTCTTTAAAGCGTCAGAAACACAACTGGATACCAAATTTGAGACCCACTACAATCAATTCTGTCTGGCGTAAGGAGGATGCTGGGAATCACACACTAGCTCTGTGACCCGTTCACTCGTTTTTTTCCCCATTGATTTAACCGGGATGAAAAAAAGCTGCCAGGGGAGAGGCGGTAACAGCGAGGCAGTGGGGGGGGGGGGGATGAATGAGTCAGGGAGAATGAATTTCATTCAAGAAAAGGACATTTCTATAAATAGTCCCAGCTGCAAAAACAGCGTTTGGTATTAGCGAATAAATGATGCCTATCTTTTATTTGCTACACGGCTATATTTTCATTTTAAAATGAAACAGAAAATAAATAGGTTAAAATGCATTTTAAAGAATGTTGTCAATACTGAGCTGCCAATATATTCCCCTTCAAGGTTTAGTATCCGACAAATATCCAGCTTTAGTGTTAGACAACCAGTTATGTATCATAGTTCAGTATTTACAACCCAGAATCAAATGTGATTTTCCCATTGCAGTTTAAGGCAGCACAAAGAGTCTAATTTGCATTGTATCTATGGTGATTTTCTCGTGACGTGATGGAACATTTAACCACTGCTGTGGACCCTAAAGAAATACATGTTCAACATGCGGTTGCTGCTCACAAGCTAATAGTTTCACAGTGAGGTTAGCTGTAGCAGAGCTAAGGTAGAGAGCTATTTTCAACCCACAATCTGCACTGCCTTTGTTCACTCCCTCTGCATCACAGCCTCTCTACAGCGACCCTCAGGACTCGCTCTGAGAACACATGCACTGTGCACTGGCTACAGTTGTGACATGGCAGAACAATCTGTGCAAAATGCAGCCTACCAACTCAACCACAGCTCAGGGTTTCCGCTGCACTTCTCAGAACATTTGCCTTTCAATCCACATTTCCTCTCCAGATTACTAGAAAGAATCTTGGTCTTAATCCCATTTGTGGACAAACCAGTTTTACCCATAGTTTACATTAGCTCCACACATTTCTACAGATAGACAGCTTGCATATCGCATTGACTGCAAAAACAGAGGCAAATCAGACTGTTTCACATCCCAATCTCAACATCCAGTTACAAAACTGTTCAGAGCAGCCTGCTCAGTAACGTGTTACATCACTTACCACAGCCAATCACATAGGGGGTCTGTCACCAACCACTCCTGCATCTTTCATTTCCGGAGAGCGATGAGGTCATTCTGAAAGCCTTTATACTCCCTGCTTTAATTCTTAACAACACTGCAGCTAAATGGAAACAAATGCATTGTTGGCTCTGCAGCGTCCAGCTTGACGTCCTAGTATGCATCCGTTTTAAAAAGCAGTTGTGCAGCAGAAAGAAAAGGACCTGCAGCCTGTTTCCATGCTGCTCCTCTGTGCCTCTCTCCCTCTCTGTGAGCTGCTCTCTCTCCTGCAGGCTGCTCGGCCCCTCCCCTCTGCGTGAGTCGTGCGGAGCTTTAGTCCGACCCACTGCTGGCACTCAGACAAAGCCAGCTCTGCTGCAGCAGCACGTACGCAGCTAAATTATAATGCCTGGCCCGGTCAGCGGCACCCAGAGCTCCAAAATACGTCTGTAATCCCACAGCGTGACAGAGATAACTCCACTGATTTCCTAAGTGAAATTAAAATAGGCCCAGTTCTTGGTAAGGTACAAGGATTCAAGAGGAATGCAGTCCTGCCAGGTTCAACTGAGGAACCGTTGTTAGGACTCTTCATGAATAACTTAAGAAGTAGCTCAACTGAGCACAATAACTAGATACAAGTGGATTTGAAAACATGTTTTAATGCCAGAGACTGTGACCTAAATGCCTCTTTCTTTAAGAAGTCTAAGGAAAATCAAGTCAAATATTCTGTAGGGTTTGAAATAGTTATTTGACCTACTGTGGCAACACATACAATTTTGATAATGGTTGAATATTTAACATGTGACTGAATTCACCAACTTCCCTCAGAGAGAACTAGAGCTTTGTGTGCAGTTAGTGAGAATAGCTACAAACTGTGAAGCACCAGCAGCTGCCAAAGGCAAAACTGCTCTCTAACAACTATGACTGGACGCTAAAATAAATACAAAAGATATTATTCTTGTTCTTTTCTTTTCTTCAGCTAGAGTATTTGTTTCTTAATCTTCAGGCCCTTTTCATTATAGCCTGAAGGCAGAAGTATTGAAACACACTGCTCTACTCTTGTATGACAATGAGAAAAGATTCAAATAGAAAGACACAGAACATCAGACTTACGTTGCGAGTTGTGCATATTTTGTTGAATCATCAATTTCTTCTTTGCGACTTCGCTGTTATTCCCAAAAGGTAAATTACATCCAACAGAGTGACTTTCAAGTCCTCCAGCAAAGCTCCATTTCATAGTTTAGGTTACTTAAAAAAAATTCTTTGAAAAAAGGTTTCACAACAGCTTTATGTGCTTCTGAATGAAATCCGGGTAATCCGCTCTCCGTGAGGCGACTGTCTAACTGACTGAATGAGTTCCTGCTGCGAGAGTAAGGTACAGGTCTGACTCTCTCTCTCTTTCTCTCTCTCTCTGGACTGTGCGAGGCCTGCTCGCTCCGAGGCAGATAGTTAATGATTAGGGGTAGCTGGTGTCAGAGCTGTTCTGAGAGCAGCCACTCTGCCAGCTGCGTGTGTGCGTGTCTCTGGTCACTCCCTCGCTCTCTCTCCCTCTGTTTGTAAAGGAGGAGGCAGGGGGAGTTCAGTCTTAGTCTTATGATTAACTTGCAAAGTTTCAAATATTTGCTGAGGTGGGCACTTTGAGACAGGGAGGAGATGTGGAGATGAGAGAGAGAGAGAGAGAGAGAGGAGAGAGAGAGAAGAGAGGAGAGAGAGAGAAGAGAGAGAGAGAGAGAGGAGAGAGATAGAGAGAGAGAGAGAGAGAGAGAGAGAGACATAGGACGGAAGCAGCCCTAGGTTTTACAAGTAAGTGCTCTGTGGAGCAGGCCCACTTTCCAGCCAACCAAATCTAAGTGGGCCTTTTGTCGCTTACTTAAAATAGGCACGCAGTAACTGGGAGGAGGCACGCACACACACACACACACACACACACACACACACAATATGTGTTTACAAAGTAGATTATTCTTTCTCTCTCTTCTTGTGACCCTCTGTATGAGACAGGTGACTGAAACCAGTTTGGGACACCTGAACTTTGATATTAGACTGCGTCCTCTGTGTGTGTGTGTGTGTGTGTGTGTGTGTGTGTGTGTGTGTGTGTGTGTGTGTGTGTGTGTGTGTGTGTGTGTGTGTGTGTGTGTGTGTGTGTGTGTGTGTGTGTGTGTGTGTGTGTGTGTGTGTGTGTGTGTGTGTGTATAACAAGAACAAACAAAAAGTGTTTTAGGGTTTGAGTCCTGCCCGCCTGCCCGCCCTTCAATCCATCCATCTCAGTGCCAAATGCTCCCGCAGGTGCAAATGACTGACAGCTGAGCGTGGCCCATGCACAGGAACATTATAAATAGACCTAACAGGTAATAAAATGTTGAAACAGCCACAGTCAGCCCTGGGCCTCCGGGCCAGCAACGATGGTGCTTTTAACTAGCACTGTAAAAACATAACTGTGCCACGCAGAGCACTTCACTCACACACACCCAGGTCAGCTTCATCTGTGCAGACCACCACTGCACCAGCCATGCAAAGTGACTCTGTGCAGCTCTGTGTTTGACATATTACAAAATAACAACATCACCCCTGAAAAAGAATCTCCCCTGTGAAGAACACCAGAACAAGATTTCATCAGTTCACACACGTCCTGGGCCATGTGTTCACTATCAACCAGCAGTCACATTCATCACACAAAAACACCAGAAACCAAAATCAACACTAGCAGAACATGTTGTACTCTGTATTAGACAACTTCCCATGGAATCATTGTACCATGTCATGAACTTTCAAACCCGACCGCAAGGTTTATATCTGACACGGTCATCAAACAAGGAACCTTTGTTTGTAGCTAAAGCTTTAGAACCAGTGTAGACCTTATTCAAACAGTTCAACAGTTTTGCAACAATGATCATCAGGGAATGTGTTTCAGTTCAAACACGATAAAGTTGTCTTAACTTGCCCTACAATGTCAGTATTTTACCTCCAGTGTACCCCCCTGGGCCTCAACACTCTTTCTTTAAGCTATTAATAGATCAGGTCTGAGGGTGTTCAGTTTATGTTCTGCAGCTCTAGTCCCTGCAGAATATACAAATCAAACAGCAGCAGTGCAACGCTAAACAGTCTTGCATTTCTTTTTTAGATATAGATATTATTCGAGCAGGAACACAAAAAAAGGCAACAGCATTTGAAACGTTGTGCATGACGGTGGTAGCTACCTGGAGCCGCCTGACTTTCACTCAATTCACTGGTCACCAGAACCTCAATGATCTTGATGTGGGCCTCCAGGCTGGGTTCACAACTGCAGAGGGTGTAAAAACAAAAAAGGCAAGTTAGATAAAGTTCCTGTTTCACAGCCCGGGTGATTCTCTGCTGCTCTGATTACTCTGTGTCTCAATCTGATGGCAATTCAGGCTTAGCTACTTTAATTGTGCAGAACAGCTGGTAAGTAGAAAAGCTCCAACCTATATCTGTGCACAGCTAAACCCACGAGTGCCTGACAGACTGTTGCTGACAGTGTGTTGATGTGCGAGTGTCTGGAAGTGTGCATGTTTCAGAGTGTGTGTGTCTCAGTGTTGCATGACTGAGCCTGCACACTTGTCTGTCGCTGCCTGAGTGTCTGTCTCTGCCTCCATCCAGCTGACACCCACCTGGTGGTCTGCTGTCTGAAGAGCACAGGGCTGAAGATCTCGCCCAGGGCTCTGGCACTGAGCAGGTTCTTGGACCCGTTTTGGCACACTCTGGAGAAATGCCTGAGCAGACAGTGGAAGGTTAGCCAGTACTGAGGAGGCAGGGTCGGGGCGCTGGCGATGCGACGTAGCAGCTGAGCACATTCCTCAGGATTCACCACCTCTGTAGAAACAGATGAGGACGGCCGAGAGGTCAGTTAGACAGATGTGAAAAAGAAAGATCCTGCCTGAGTCGAAGTGGAGCGTAAAATGAGAGGCGTTTCTTTAAACAATGAAGCGGTGGAAAAAGCGTGTCATGTGCAGTTAGGTTATGAAACCACAGTGAGATTGTGGTTGACAATGAGCGTAAGGTACACTGGCAGGTGATTGGCTGCTGACAGATGCTAGAGATAAACTCTCAGGCTTGTTTTAGTTCCTATTAACCTCAGATATCCTGTATCTGGCCATGTGACAGAAAGAGAATGCAGCGCGACAGAACAGTGTGGTGTGAGAAGTGTCTCTGCTCTTGCAACAAAGAAAGATAAACGGAAACTAATCGATGGAGAAAGTTACAAAATACACTTGTAATGCACTAATTACTGCGAGGGAAAAAAGCACATTTGGTTAAAAACTGAAAGTCTAAAGGGTACTGACAATGCTTTGTGGTTTTGTTTTCAAAGAACTGAATGTTCAGCAGGGTAGAGTGCATTCATTTCATCAGTGTTTCTGTTTTTCTGTGCAGAATAGAAATGATAATTGCATTTGTGCGGGGGTCCTCTGCTCTCACCTTTGGCAGTGAGGACCATCTGAGCGTATATTGCAGTGGGGATGATGGGCTGGGGGAGGTCCTGCAGGTACCTGCGCAGACCGTCACACAGGATGGGAAGCTCCACCTGATCCAGGTCTGCTGAGGGGGGGTCTGCAGCACAAAACAACACCCGTTTAAAAACTAGAAAGTCTTTGTGCAAAGTGAAATACGTCCTTACTGGCGTTTGTGCAAACCGCAAACTAAACCATTCATACGTAGATGTAACCATGGAAGTACTTTCTGCTCTTTTAGGTGTGTAGCACACTTTGTAGGTCACCTCACACTGTTATCTCTGTTCGTCATCAACTCTTGCAACATTTCTTCTTCCTCATTCAACTATTGAAAAACGACTGACTTAACATAGGCTGATAAAAGAAAAGCTGCTTACCACATTCAAAATACGGTTTCACTTCAAGTCCACCACCAGCAGTAAATGTTCGATATAAAGTGGGGTTATCCACACCTGCAGATAATCACAGAAACAAAACTCATTACATTTATTAAATGAGAAAACTATCTGGTCATAAATGCACATTCAAATGCGGTTAACAAAGACAGGCAGAGGTAAAAGGTACATTTAAAGTACTGTTTCCGTGGTGAAGCTTACCTTTCTTCTCAATAGTTTCGATGAGTCTGGCCATCATGGGTGGACTCGTCTCTGGGAGAGAAAACTGCTCCGTCAAGTCCAGCAGGCAGAGACCTGGAGGAGGGAACAACACATTGTCAAAAAAGGTGCTTTTTTTGTAAAAAGAAGCAGGAAGTGCTTTCTACTATTAGTTTTGTGTCAATGCTGTCTTGTGTCACATGTTCTGATACATTATGAATTTGTTAACCATGTGTGCCAATTGTCAATGGGTGGGAAGCTGGCCCTGTGAAACCTTTAATGTTTTTTCTTGAAAAATCACTTAAAATAAATGATCACCTTTTATAAAATACAGAATAACTGCCAAATATGTTTCTGTTGATAAGCTGGTTACACTGCAAGAGTGTATGACATTTTAAATCATGTGGCTTACAGATGACTTTTAGCATCTCAAGCTAAATTCAAAGTGCTTATAAAAAATGAAAGACATTAAGAAAATGGCATTTAAAATCAGTCATTAAAAAGAAAAGCTAATCAAATAAACATTAAAAGAAAAAGTACATGGATAAAAGTTACAGTGCAGTCTAAGATGTGAATAGTTCAATTAAAAGCAGCGACAAAAAGAAAAGTCTTTAGTCTGGATTTAAAAGTAGTCAGAGTTGCAGCGGACCTGCAGGTTTCTGGGAGTTTGTTCCAGATATTTGGAGCATAATAAGATCTTTTACTTACACATGCAAAATATCTTGCAAACCATGAAAGGACAGAAGTGCTTTCACATTAAATGTGGCTAGGGCTGGAAGTCATGTGAGCCAGCCAAGGCTGATTAGGTGTATGAATTAAAAACTACTCAGAAGTTCAAAGAGGAAGCAGGTACGAGACCAAAGGACTGCCTTCAAAAGTAGAAGGTGAGTATTTACAACAGCCCGATTCAACAGGAGGTGCTGAGCACTCAAGTTAGGGTTTGCTGGACCAAGAAACTAAGCAAATACCCTGTGATATGAGGTAAGCCAGGCCCCAGATTTTTTTTTATATTTCTTTAGAACTTTGTACCCAGGTGTGGACATGAAAGGCTGAAGGGGTTGGCAGGGATTTTATTTGGATTTGCAAAGGCGTATTTTGAAAGGGTATTTCTCTGAAAGGCTCAACTGTTCAACACTGCAGATTCAAAATGTTCAGAAACTATGAATGGAACCCTTTATAGTAACCATATTTTTCTTCCTTTCTACCTTAAGAAATATTAAAATGTTTGAATCCACTGGTCCCATTGATGCAGGCATGCCAGTCATTACAGAAGAACTACCCTCCTCCACCACAGAGTGTTCAATCAAGCCAATAATGAACCACTTCATCCAATTCCACATCCTCTTTGGCCAGCGCAGCTCACAGGCTGGCATGTTGCGTGTGAAGAAACTGGATTACTGAAGTCCTTGCTAACCACATAACACACACAACTCCATGTAGGACAACTGGTCATCTGGAAGACATTATTGGAACGGCAGAGCGGGAGGGGTTTTTCTCAGAAGCAGTGAACTCCGAGATGGAACGCCAGAGTTTCCCTAAATAGAGAACGGGACACGCAGCCCTGCCATCGCACACCTTGGAAGTGTAACCTTTCTCTCAGACAAGATATCTAACACGGCTGCCATTCTACAGCCAATGTTTTTTCGGAGAAACCTGATTCATAGGCTGAAGTTATATTTAAACTTCTAACCCACCCACATATCCAATGTTTTATCAAAGAAAATTGCCCAAAGCCACATCCTAAGGCTAGTTTTATTAAAAAGGTGAGATTTCTGACATAAGAGGTTTTAAACATGGCATTTTGTGAATACGTAAGACTTTTCAACACGTGTTTAAATAGCCACATATTGAACAATAGGTTAAATAAATCTTCTGTGCATGTTTCAAGTGGCTCAGTGATAAACTCTTTAACGTGAACACCTGTCAAAAGAGATCCAAAAGTATTTTTTGTTTATTTATTTACAATCTATAATCTGTGGATGGCCTCTGACTGACACGGGGTGACTTGGAGATAGAGTTGCTTCTTGGTACTGTCAATGATGTGATCGTTTCAGCAACGATGGAATTGTATCAAGTAGCAGACAAGATATGGCAGAAATGTTTCGAGCTATCGGTGATGACTTCTGAGATGGCTTGGCAAGAGATCAAGCGCGCAACATGCAGATACTCGCCGGAGCCCATGGAACATGTTCAAATATACACACAAATCATTTAGAAACAGTTTTTGAGTTACTTTACGCAATGATAATCATTTTTGAAGTATATAGATGGCAGAATGTATCACATCTCTTTAACTGTTTACAGAGTGCATGAGTTGGATGTATGTTATGCAAGTACTTAAGGGTAGCTGAAATTCTGGGCTGTTTACATTCAGCCACACGCGTTAGCAGCTAAATTATAATACCTGACTGTATAATCAATGCCACAAACACACTAAATATCTTTGTATTACTGCAGTGCTACTACAGTAATAGCACAATGTTACTGTTGTCCTACTCTATTTAGAACAGCAGAGGGTCTACACACTGCATGTTCTAATTTTCAATGGATTTTTTTTTTGGAAAGGAGAGTATGGAGATAGGGGCCCCTTGGACGTGTCTGTACAAGCCTGAATGTTTAGCAGAGCTTCGCATGATATCCCAGAAGGCCTCAGCCAGTCAGTTAGTGAACCACAGGTTGAGGAAGTCAATGCAGCTGCCACTAGTGCTGCTGTGGTGTTGGGGGGCCCAGCCTGAAACCGTATGTCTGAACCGAACAGACTGCAGACTGTGGGCAGGACAGGCGTGGGGCACCACCGACAAACTAAAGATAGCACACACTTTGGATACATTTAGAGGGTCTACTCGAGTAACCAGCATTTTCAAGTTATACCGTTTCTTCTTGTCTGAAAAAGGTCTAACTGGGGCACGGCAGTAAAAACCAATAACCAAGGGATTGTACTTCAGACCGCGCACACATGGCTGCACATTATTGAGCAATAGGGCATTATATTACAAAATATGTCACATATGTTTCATGTAAAAGTCGGTTGTACAGTAATTAATAAGAGAGGGTGCAGACCTTCAACAACTTAGAAAACACATGAGATTTAACATGAACAAATATGAAGTGAAGCTCTAACATGCTTTAACATGCATGTTCTAGAAGTCAATGAATGATACAAGCTTTGAGCTGAAGGAAGTAAAAAAAAGCAGGCAATGTCTCCTCCTGCAGGAAGGAAGCTGCAGTGCAGAGGCTGAGCAACAGCCAATGAGGAGGCTGTTGCTACAGCCTGACAATTAACCCTATAGAGGAAGGACCATCGATGAGTCACAACACACACATAACCACAGATTCCTGATGTGCAATTAACTGCGAATCAGTATTTTAAAAACCCACTTTCCAACACCTTTAATACGCCATTACTACCTGAAGAGTACATATGTAATGCCTTCAAGAAATATATTCAGAATGCAGACAGTAATGTTTTCCTAGCTGTTCCCACAATGCGGATTGATTTTCAGGTATTCCTTTTACATTAAAGTTGCAGTCAAACACATAAGCATCGAATAATATTCATTTTTGGTTTATTGTTTTTATTATATAAGACACAGGCCTAACTCTGGTTGTCCATTTTTCATCACATCAAATGTCATTATATTATGATATATATATATTCTCTCATGCCATGACTGGAGACTTAGATTTACTACATTTAAAAAATGGTCAAACTTGTGTCAATCTTTAAGTAAAAGTAATCTGTGAAGGTCTTCATCTGCGATTGTTTTTAAAAGACGTTCAGGTGCAATGTGAGTTATGCACTGATCCAATGTCATTTTATTTCTCGTTTTGAAAAGAAAACTATGTGAATATGTTAAAGAGTCAAAGCAAATGTTGGTGATAAATTGATATTTTTTAGTTTCTGTCCAATAGCTAATATATAGAAAACATGAATTACGTTGCTCTGTTCCAATCTTAACTCAATTAAGTTTTTCAATTATGAATCATTTTTGACAGTAATCAGTGCAGAGCCTGGTTTAAGTTTTATGGACGTTTCAGCTTCATTGACCAGTATTTGTCCGAAAAATAATAAAGAGTTATCAAATGTAAAACCTTACAATACCCTGATAAAGTGATTGTACTTCTTGCACTACGTTGTACATGTTTAACAGTGTAACTACTAATCTGTAAACTACAGAACCCTTACCAAAGCTGGTTAAAATAACTGATGCCATCGACCTTGTTCAAAGCATTACACAACGCCTACTCCACAGCACAAAGCTCACTCAGTATTCAGCTCCACTAGCTCGTCCACCTCCCGGTCAAATACAGGACATATTTGAAATACCTTTTCTGGTCCCCTTGACGTTGTGCCTCTACCTAATCTAATCTCTTGTCTTTCTTTCTTTCTTTCTTTCTTTTCTCTCTCTCTCTCTCTCTCTCTCTCTCTCTCGCAGTAGTGTATTTGTCTTTTGTAGAGATTTTTCATTTATTCTTTATATATAAAATCTCACCTAGGGCAGCAAATTGGCTAGAACCGGCCCTGGTACTAGGCCTCAAGAGCCTTTCTTGTGCTGGCAGACACATAGAAACAAACAAAATATTTTTTAGCTTTTGTCCAATTTTTAGGGGGCGGTGGATTAGTTACTACTACTTTTGTCCTCCGAGACTTTTGCCAGGAATATCACAAGCTAATATTTACAACTAAAAGAGTCAAATGAAACTACAATATTAAAATGAGCCTCGGGAAAGCAGCATGTACAACGACAGTGTAAAACAGCAATCGCTGGGTTCCTATTCAGTGTGCATGCCATTTATTGTCCGGTTGCATTGTGCACCAAGTTACTGCAATCAGCACTTAGCACAATACTGATTCATCACAAAGCTACAAATCAGTCTACCATGCAGTCTGTGTGCAGCCCTCCACCAAAGAAGCACCAACACATTCCTGGCTCCAGCTGCCTTTACGCCCACAGAGGAACATCGGAGCAAATACAAACAAATGATAAAACTTCTGTGCTGCTGTTTTCTTTCTGTCACACTGATTATCTGATGTGTGATTGTGCTTCCTAGAAGAAAAAAAGTGAACTGCATACCACTGTGTGTGAATCCAAAAGATAGGTTGCAACATGCCCAATTAAGAAAAAAAGGGAGAAGGGAATTCTTAGAAAAGAAAAACTGAACATATTCAATAGAGGCCCAGATGCATCATGTCAATCTCCAGCTTTTCTAAGAACTCTCCCTGCTAACGTCTCCTTTGTATCAAATGTCCAACTCAACCTAAATGTTCCATACAGTAAGTCTATGGCACAAATATATGATGATTTAATCCACTTTTGTTTTCTTTACTCGTAATGAAAAAGGCAGTTTATTTACAAAGAATAATCCGCTTTTGCAACATACTAAAGTCATATTCACCATAGAGGTTTAACATGTTTGAGTGAAATGGAATTGTTAGTAGTGTAATGTACTGTTACATAAGAACTGAAAACATGATAAGCCTCAGACTCAGAAAAAGGTGAGGATGAAGCTTGATGGCATCAAATCATTCCTTAAACAAGACTAAGCATGTAAGGTTGAACCATGTGAGAGCACGTAGAAATAACAACCACTTATTCACTCCTTTATCTCCAACGTTTAGAAGAATGTGCTCTCAGACTGGCTGCTCAACAGTTTTGCACGCACACATTTTTTTTAACCATGTAGAGCCATCATCAACTTGACTTTCAAAATTGAGAAAAGTCTGACTTTATAGCTTTGAATTTCTGCCCGTTGATTTGATCAAACTTGTTTTGAAACAGTTGAACTTTTAGGAAAAACTCCGCCTTTTTCAAATCAGTTCTATGTTTCTGTATACATCAAATAGGAAAAGGAGTCTACTTGAGCTCTGGGTTTCAATCTCCGAGTTCCTTTTTCTTGGCGGGCCTTAACACATATATATTCTCTCAACTGAGAGGCCCAGAGAGGGAGCAACACTTTAATGTTTAAAAAAGGCTGAGAGCTGGAATCAGGCGGAATAGTTTCCCAGCCTGGTCCTCTTCTCTCTCTCCCTCACCCTCTCCACATCTGCTGCACTCATGTAAACCCCTGTGGCTCGGAGAGGAGAGGCCCCTCCATTCTCCACCTCTTTCCCCCCTTCCAGAGCTGACTGTAGGAACTATCAAAACATTAAAAAAAAAAGGGAGAAGGGGGAGGCGGAAGGAACAAAAAAAAGCTAAGGAGTAGGCGGAAGGGAGTGAGATCCCTTGGTGGTGGGTAATAAATCACACACACTCTGGGAGCAACAAGAGCCCAGCCTCCTCGCAGAGCCCCTCTTCAAAGCCCCCTTGAGCACGCAGAGCCCGAGTCCCACCCACCGCCCCCCCCCGCTCCCTAACGCCTGCATCGACCCCTTTTCCTATCCCACAGCCCCGTTCCAGCCCTGATCCTTTTGCACACCATCCCTCACACGGACCCTTTAGCAAGCACAGGGGCTCTCTCTCTCCCTTACCCCACAACCTAGGGGCCCCTTCTCTCCTCTCCCTCCCCCCCCCCCCCCCCCCCCCCCCCCCCCGCTCCCTGTGTCTCCCACCGCTCAGGACACAGAGACTTTTCTTCTCCCGGTGCTACATTCACACTCGCTCCAGGCTCAGCGCTGCCACTCAACCACAACACAGCCATTTAACACATGCCCCCTTCATACGGCTCCTCGCTCAGCCTGCAAACCACAGCAAAGAATTTCACAATCGCACCACAAAGCGCAGAAACTGGAAACCTGGCAGATACAGCTGCTCTTTAGGTGAGCAGGCAGCCTTAAGCGCACATTGGTGCAAGCCGCAGCGTCTTTAAAAAGATGCACGTTTTTTTAATTGCAGCTCATAGTTGTGGCATGAGCAGTAACGCTGATTCAGATTTCAAAAGGGTCATTTTATATGCAAATATCTTTAAACGCACGGAACTTGAACGCAACATGCTAAATACAGCTTACTTTACATCTCTTGCCAACAAAAAGAAACTACAGTACAGCAATAATTGGTGCTTCTATATGCCACGTAAAACCCTTAGCAAGTTATCTTGCATTAAGGAAGTATATGATTAGACTTATTTGCCCTCTCACACCAAGTGAAATAATTGTCATTCATCTCTTTGTGTCTGCTTAACTCTGCGCACTGCTTTCTGCACATCTGGAATGTACGAAAAACAGCTTTAAATGAAGTTGTTTCATTTGAGTTGTTTATTGTAAAATTCTTGTAAATAGTTTTGTGAAATTGTGGGTTTACGAGTGGTTTAGTTTTAGAGCTAAAGTCCTGTATTTCTATGTTCTTGCTAAGTAAATCATAACACAACCTTGAAAAATGTTGATGATCAGTTAACAAACTAAAACAAAGTAAACTAGACAACTTTGAAGATCTAGGAAAGCATTTTTTTCAGCCTTGATGAAGCTATCCAAACTGTTTCCCCAGGCTTTCAGAGCAATTTGTCCTAATGACCGGTATACAGTGATCGTATCATCGTTCTCTACACCGATAAGGGAAATATAGCCCTAAAGATGGTGCTTTTGGAGAAACGTAGATGATACCAGCTGGTAATATATGGCCGATATGCTCTGGGGTTCTATAGCCTGGATCAACGCCAATGTTGTCCCCTGGGACTGAGCGTGGTTCACATCCAGTGCAGCTGTACAGCTCTGGGCAGAGCCACTTGTTGTCAAAGACAGCAACTGTTCTGCTAGTTCATCATGTTTCTCACACTTTGTTAACCCAAATCCGGTTATGCGTGTTGTTTCTGTTTTCAATCAACAAAATATTAGTTGGGGGTCAGTTGATGACATGGTGCCAGATGGGCTTCACTGTTATCTTGTGACCAAATGTTCATGTCAGAGAAAAAAAAACTAAACCGCTTTAGCTGAGCGAGAAATACACAAACTGAAAACATGCAAGAAAATGTATGTATGAGTTTAGATGAGGGTTTACACCAAATTGCAAACATGGCAATATGGAGCTCACACCCAAGGCAAGGGAACAATGAAGACTTTTTTTAGATTACAGCAGTTGAGTATACTGATTATTGCCACAAAACATGAACTCCTGAATGTATACCACTGTTGTAGCACAGTAAATCAAAAATTTCAAAGTAGTCAGTGGAGGGTTTGGAAAGGTGACATTTTTTTGGAAAAAAAGACACTGAAAGGGGCCTGAATTATTGTCTACTTAGCATTTTTATTGTTTGAAGAAGTAGAAAGTAGGGCTTTAAGACTAAACCCCATATTGACCAATGATAGCTGATGTAATATATATCAACTGAAACAAAAAAATCATGAATCGGCAACAATCTAGATAATCTAATTATCTCAATATTTCAAGTGAAAGACCAAACAATTAATCCAGTAAAGAATTGTGTGGTAAAAAATCAGTAATGAAGAAAATGTGGGTTGCAGCTCTTATACCTCATTCACACCAACGCAACTCCGGTTCAAGCTCCGAGCTTTTCAGGTTCAGAACCGGTTCTTCGGTTTAGCTCCGGCTCTTTTCACACTGCACAGAGTCCGACTGGTGCTGCGTCATTGCGTCATCGTTTGCGTCATGACGTAACCGTTTGCGTGCCTGCTTCATAAAGCCAAACCGTGCGGAAACCCCTCACAGCTCACACCGACAACAACAACAATGGCCGATTGTGTTGAAGCGCTACTCGTTTTGGTTTTGCTCTGTCGAAACAAAATGGGACGACTTTACTACCAACTTTACAGTCGTTACATGCTACATTCAAAACTGCTTTACAATCGTAATCATCAACTTCAACGACGATTCCGATTCCCCCTGCCTCGACGGAAGCGTGACGTATGCGGTGCTTTTGCTCTGGCCGGAAAAAATGTTGGTGCTTGAAACGAACCGGATTCCGGAGCTAAGAGGCTGCTCCGCTGCGGTGTGAACAGGAAAACCCGGTGGTTTTCAAGCTCCAGCTCCGAACCGGCCCTGAAACACCGTTGGTGTGAATGAGGTGTATGTGGAAAAGTGCTGTGCTATTAAACTCACCTTGCTCTGAGTCGCAGTCCCCCCCCACCCTGAAGACGCCTGGAGCTTCAGGTAGGGGTCTGAGGGGCCGTGGCTTGGGGGTGGGAGGAGAGATCCACTTATTTCCGATGAACTCGACATATGTCCCAGGGAAGTCCCCCTTTTCCTGAGTGGTTTCATTGAAGCCTGGCAGCCAGCCAATCTCATCTGGCCTCTGTTCCAGTCCATCAGTGTACCCAAGGGCCACCAGGGCTCCTTTGCTTACCAACAGGATGTCCCCCACATGCAGACTGATGTCCTCCTCCCTCTCCTTCTTGTAGTCATAAAGCGCTCTGTACTGATATCCTTCAGCACTCATATTGAGCTCTTTGTGCCAGAAGTGCTTTCGAAGATTCAACCAGAAATGTTACTTTTCAGGTTTCTCTAAGTATGTGTTCAGTCCAGGTACACATTTGCTTGTACAAATAGTTGTATGAGTATACATTTACCAATACCAAGAAAACGTTGGTTGTTCTTGGGAGACAACACTATCTAGCTTGTCTTCATTCTTTCAAAGTTCCTGTCTCTTCTGAATGATTTTCGGCTCTCTTGGAGTGGCGCCTCACAGTATGTACCCATCAGTACATGGCCTGCAGCTGCAATCCTCAGAATACTATCCAGACCTGTAAAGTGAGAGTGGAGGCCATTTGTAACACATTGCATATGACAATTACAGTATGTAATGCTCAGATGTCATCTAAAATGTACTTAATGAGATATAACACATTTAACTGAGTTCTGCAGGAAAGTTATTGAGGATTTTATTGTGGTGGTAAGAATACTTATAAGAGTACTATAATACTTTATAGTTGGCCAAACTTACATTTTAAGCATACGCAACACTTTTAAGAATTGTAGTATTTTACCAGGCTAATATTTTAGCACATACTTAAAATATATTATTACTTTATACTACCTTTGCAACTATACTTTGACACATGGTAAGTTGGTGGCAGATCATACTTGCTTTGAAGAAAAAGGGCAATATTTTTGATGAAGTGAACCATTAAGCTGCCTTTGTTCAATCATGTAGTAATATTTTTTTATGATTTAATGGTGTACACAGTATGGTCCCATACTGTACACTACTAATGATCATCTGAGAACACAATGACTATCCGGCAGTACATTATTTACTGATGCAGACACAAATAGTGATTAGCTTTTTTCTTTACATGCTGCATTTAACCGTTTCTGGCTTGATGTGTTAACACACATTATCTGTGCTCTTCAGCCAACAGTCTGTTTAGCCAGACTGCTAATGTTAGCATGATCCGTGACAGCTTAAATTCTCAACGCTGCAATTGTTATATAACTAGCAGAGGTGGGAGAAGTACTCTCAGATATTTTATTTGTGTAAAAGTAGAAATACCAAAGTGTAGGTATACTCTGTTACAAGTAAAAGTCCTGCACTCAAAATGTTGCTCAAATAAATGGATTAAGGTATTGGAATCTATATACTTAATGTAAAAGTACTCATTAAGCAGATTGTCCCATTTCAGAATAATATGTATTATATGTTTTTATTATTATTGAAGCATTAAAGTGTTCTCAAAGCTGGTAAAGGTGCAGCTAGTTTTAATGACTTTGTATACTGCAGGATAGCTTGTGAATTTACTCCAGGTGTAACTAAAGTCTGATTTAAGTGTTGATTATATTTCACATTATTTATCAAAAAGTAGTGGAGTAGGCCTACAATACACTTTTACCTCTGAGTTGTAGTGGGGTATAACTACAAAGTAGCAACACATTTAAATACTCAAGTAAAGTACAAGTCTTTCAAAAATGTACTTGAGTAAATGTACTTAGTTACATTGCACCACTGATAATTACTACATAGTAACATCTCTTGGTCAAAAAACTGCCAGCAAACTTGTGGATTTTGAAAACACAGAGCTGCGAGATATACTAGCAACTTGTGTTTTAAAAGAGTAAAACAGTAACGTTGCAGAAAAAAAATGTCGAGAGAGCAGGATGGTTAACTGTGAGCTAAGTTGGCTAACATGCTAACGTCAGCTTGTTAACACGATCGGCCAGCGTTCATTCTGGAAGATAAGAGTTTGCTATAAGGTGCCATTGTGAGTTACATGTTATTAACATATGCATGAAACCGACAGTAAATTAGGAATTGCATTAGATTAATAATAATGTAACAACATTACAATATTGGAAAAAGCTTTTTCAAGTTAACGCAGAGCTCAAAAAGTAACCTAAGTTTTACCAAACTGGATTAAGGTAAATATACTGATATAACAACTAGCACTTCTTAAAAAACAGCACTTCGTAGTTCGACATTCGCTGTCAAGTGATCGAGCTTGTCATGAGTAACTACATACCGAGTCTGCATGGATCCACATGCGATCCGACGATCCTCTTCCACTTCGGTAAACTTAACAGTTTATACGGGATATTATACGAAAGAACGCAACCCTAAACAGATCCTTTATCAGGACGGTTTAAAACATATAACTTTCACTCGCGTTTAAATCCGGTTTAACAGGCAGAACAAACTGTTACAACCCACAGCTTGTCGACATAACGGCACGACTCTCCCGTCCTGAACAAAATGCTCCCTTGAACGTCGCCCCTGCGGCCAACAAGGGGCAAGACAAAGCATGGCCTCTGATTGGCCAGCGTCACTGTCAATCATTAACATCAGTCAATCCGACCAGTCAGATTGTCGCTAGTAGGGCAACTCTCCTCCTTCAATGTTGGAACACCTATGGAAATTACATAACTTTCTGCACGCAATGTATACTCAAGTCCTTTTGGTTTTTATTATCATCTGTTCTCATACTCGACGGGGATTATTTTCACAGCATCCAAAGCAATAAGAATGAGGGCAATGTAAAGATATCACTTTACAGTGTAAACTACATGTGATACACAATCTTTCCAGAGGATATGAAGAACAACAACTATTGTCGAATAGCCTGCTTCTCCTGTCTTTTTTCTAATGTAATACCATAAACTACAGCTGGTGTGTTACATTATGTGTCAGATAATATCCACAAAGCAGGAAATGAAGCATACAAAAGTTGTATGTCACACCCAGGAACGCACATAACCACACTCAGTGGTTATTTATTCAGGCTATAGCTCTCCCTTTTTGTGTATTTTTTCATAAATCATTACATGTTCTCAGTGTGGAAGGACCCAGAATCCTATAGTCACTATCTGAGGCACATGACTGTGAATGTGGGTGGCCTAATTATGGTCTGGAAAGAGGGCAGGCTTCTGGCAGGAATCCCTAGTATAAACCCGGCTTTGCTAAAAGAGGCTGTAAGCAGCTTTGTACAAGGGAAGGCCTCTGGTGTTCTGCAGTCAGACAGGCATCAGTGGCCATCACCAGTGTCAAAAGAGGAAGGAGTATAAAATACAGGAGATAATGTGGTTTTGAAATCAATAGTAAGTAGGAACTTGAAATTGCTGTTCTGTGCGTCAGGAAACTTTATCAAATGCACTTGATGCATGTCTTTGAGTCATCTTGAATTTTTTTTGACAAGAAAAAGCCCAAATGTTGCAATTTCCCTTCTACTATACTGACCTCACAGTTACAGTTAACTTTGTTTGCATGAACAAAACATCTAATTTTAATCCCTTATATATGCCAGGCCAAATTGTGTCCAGTAGTCACTGGATATTATAGTAAAGATTTATATTACTGCTGCAGACAATAGAAGTTAATATTTGAAACGCCTACACTATTTAATTATTGACTTTGCCAGCACCACACCACACCTCACACCCCAGGCTCTTGTGGCTCAACTGCTTCCCGGCAGATACCTAAACTACCTCTGAAGGATATCTCACTTGAACCACACATAAACGCTTACTGAACCCTGTTTCATATTTTCTAACGAACATTTCAGAGTGACACCTACAACAAAGGCACATCAAACTTCCCATTAACTTTGTTTGCACAGAATATTGCAAAAACAAGCATGTTGCGTTCATACTTGGTGACTAAAGGAACACAAGAATAAAAGGTGGTTAATCTTCAAACACAAGGTTACTCATCAAGTGTTCTTCAATTTCTTTAACAGGTGGACATCTATATTTAGCATCTGTGTTTTGGTGAAGTCCTGAATCTCAATAATCTCTTAATATTTCCGTGACTCTCAACTGGACACTGGATTTGTTGATGCTTAAAATATTTTGAACTTAATACAAAATTGTACAACGTTTCTGATTGCATCTTCTACTTTAATAAACTACAGCTGATAAACAGTGTCATGACTGAATTAGTACATTTTTGTCCATGGTAACTTAACAGAATCTACTGATGTTTGATAAACAGATCAGTTTTTTCTGCACTTGTCATCTTATCAAGCATGAAAAGTACTGGGTCCTTTTCTACGAAGTTGTTTAAACGATTCAGGCTAGCAGTTTCCAGTCTTCATGCTAAACTAAGCTAAGTTACTGCTGACTATGAGAGTGCCATTGATTCTCTTATCTAACCCTTTTACACAGATCCATTTAGTTTATAATGAGCTGCAGCCTATGTTTCCTTGTAGAAATCCTTGAAATGATATTTTCTCTCTTGGACTGTTCTAGTACGTCGCATGCATTATTCACTATGTGAATTATGCACTTTTAGTTGACACATTTCATTGAGCAGTACTTGAGGTCCACCATACTGTCGGACCTCCTCAGCTTTTATCATGCTAATGTTCAAAGTGTGAAGTGCACATGGACCACCTACTGTGCTACAGCATTCCAAAAACAGACGGAAATGGGTCAACAATGCAGAATGATATTGCTAAGGTGGCCAAAATCCAACCTCAAGTTAATGATATACTGTATCTACAAATATCACAGGATTAAATAAATAGAAAAACCTAAATGTAATGTAAGCACTGCTTCTTCATATGGATAACACTTGCAATGTCTCAATATCATTTTGAGCATATGTTCTTCTAAGTCAAACATTACCTCTGGGACCTAAGAATTCATTCTGCGTGGATTGGGCCCCTTAAACCATTAATCTATGCAGTTTTTCAGGGCTTTCATAATGGATAACTTTAGTGTGCAGAGCTCTCAGGCTCTCATCATTTTACCCCTCCTATCCCTCTATTCACTGATTATTTTACTTTTGTGAGCAAGCTGAGAATTCTCACATGGGTAACCCCATAATGCTCACTAACATAGGATGAACTCATGAAATGCATCACCCACCAACACTTATTTAACTGAAACCAAAAAGAAGATACTTCCTCCTTATGCTTTGGTTCCACATCGCCACAGGAATACTCTATAAACTCAGTCACCTTCCGCTGTATTGGCACCTTTGATTGTTCAGTGTTTTATCATACGTTTCTATTGAAGTGCTCATTATCCTATGAGAGGAATGTGACGAAAACATTCTCAATATCCTCTTGGAATCAACAGAAAGGCAGTCTAAGCGTCCCTGTTTGTCTGCTTATCTGTATTATTGTGTTGCATTGTTGGAGAAGCCTGTGACCTAAGATTTTCAACGACATAATTACTCTGTAGCTATGTTAGTTTGACAATAAAAAACCTTGAACCTTGAACCTCTTCACCGTCTATCGAGCGGAAACATGTATAAGAAGTACTATAGATTTATCATTGCAGATTTTTCAACATTCATTCAATATGTTCTGTTTTTGTGGTTATTTATAAAGGCTGATCACATGTTCTAACTGCTAAAATATGACATGCTTCCTTAAATAACTCAACAACACAAATAAGATGTTCTTGAACCTAGAAACGCTAATCAATGTGGGTTTCCCACCCGCCCTGACTCACAAAGAGTAATTCACATTGTCTGGAATAAGTCTTCATTAATGCAACATTTATCTGTACTTGATGATTTAATGCCGCTAATTCTGCATCCTGCAGATTGTATTATACATGGCACAGACTTGCTTGTGTGCTTTTCAGGAACCACATTCCTCTGGTATGAAAGAGCACTTCTCTCTACCCAACCATCTACTCATTAGACGAGACAGACAATGACCTTCTTCTCTGGACTACTCCATAAATCTTTCATTTACAATATTAGCCACAGTTCAAGTGTTTTCTGGATAAAGAATTCCTACATACTTTAAAGAACATACAGTCATATTGTAAAATAGTTGCATGCGCCTATGAATCAGGAGGATTACTCATGATGTGACTGCATGAAGTTACCAAGAATGTGACAAACGTCATTTTTCATTTTAGTTTATGGTTTATGGCTCACAGTGCTAATTTGTATTTCCTAATTTTAAGACATAAATCTGCTAAATCTGCTAAATCTAATGGACGTTATAATGGTGAATGTGTTAGAAAACATCTCATTTACATATCCAGCAGACATGGAGCAACATTAGCATTTGCTTTTGTTGCCTAAGTCGATTAAAGCTCTGTTTTGGTCTTTTTTGAGAAACAAATCTGTCTCTAAATATTCCACCCGCTAGTTGCTAACTTTGTTTCTACAGTTTGGTGCTGAGCAAGCAGCGTACAATGTTTTTGCTGTGAGATTGAACCAAAACAGCAATGTGTTGGGCTGTAAAAACCAAAAAATAGGCTAAAAGACACTACAAATGTGGAGGTGGTAATCTCTCTCCAGTGCCCTCTCATTTAGGACATTTTACATAAATGTAAAGTAGATATCAATCTTATCTTACCCTATCCTGGGAAATAATGAACAATTATTCCTTAAATACAAGATTATCCTAATATTCAATATAACTGTAGGAAATGGACTCAAATGTGCTGTAAACTACCACCATAAAAGTAGGTTTGTGTAGTGCCACATGTCAGCTGAATACTGCTTCCAAAAATCCAGTAACTTCTGCCTTGCATTAACAAGATGTCTTGGAACAAAGCACTGCAAGGTGATTCATGAATAATGTTGGCAAGCTGTAGTGCACCACTATTGCGGTAAGCATGTTAGGCGCATTCACACTGCAGTACTTTTCCCACAAAGGTTCATGTGAACTTAGTTAATGTGAACTCTTTTATCGCGTTCACACCAAAAAGAGCCGGTACTAAAATTAGTTCATGTGAACCTTTTTACCCCCTCGAAAGTCACTGATGTGCCCCTTTCACACCAGCGCTTTTTCAGCTCCGGCTCGGAGCTGGAGCCTGAAAAGCGCCGGTTTTTCCTGTTCACACCGCAGCGGCGCCGGAATCCGGTTCACTTCCAGCTCCAACAAATTGTCGCTCTAGAGGCAAGAGCTTCGGAGCTAAGAGGTGGCGTCGCTTACGTCTCTCTTACGTCGAGGCGTGCAGGACACTAAACCCACCTCCCCTGAAAATGGGTCGACTGTCATGCCTGCCTACAAGCAGTAGTGCTTATAAACACACTTTATAAAGTCAGGCAACACTAACCAGACTTCGTGTGATTCTGTTTATTTGTACCTTACTTTGACCATCCGTTCACTGTTATTGATCATTGTGGAGAGACGCAGACGTTTTGTTTTGTATTGTAGCAGCTATCGGATGGAATCAATACATGGGCTGCACAGGTTGTCGTGTCCGACTATCACAAGTAGAATCATAATAAAAATACGCCGGTAAAATGTGCCTGTAGAAAACGGTTTATGCCACAATAGGATAGCAATAGCAAGTAGTCAGTTTAGCTTCGGTTGCTATGCT